AGGTTTGTATGCATGTAAACGGCCTGCAGAGTCAAAACCCCTCAAAGTACACCCTGTAGTGAGTAAAACTCTAACACAGAAAAGACCCCCCCAAAACGCCTCGTTGGAGATTTCTCATTTTCTTCCTGGGTACTCTGACGTGGGGATACCCAGAGGCCACACCCTCTGCCAGCCTTTCACGACACAAAGCTTCCCAAACCTTTCAGCGATTCATGCCGGATATGTACAGCGTAGGGCACTGAAGAACGATGCTGTTCCTACTTTGTTTGGACCAGCGGGAGAGTCGGGTACACAACCTGTAAGTATTCATTGTTGTTTGTGTATTTATGATGTTTAAAACAAACAAGGTATCTACCACGACTGTTTAAATGGGTAAACGTTTTTCGGACTGCTAAGTTGGGATCGCGGAGAAATGCTCTCCGCAGACCCATGCTCACAGCGTTATAAACCTTACTCAATATCAAGCCACACTTATTGTTTTTACTTCGGCTGTGAGTGTTTGTGTGCTCAGGATGAGTTTAGCTTGTTCTTGCTGTATTGTTTCGCCGACACGGAAGCCCTGTCTTCTCCTCACAGCAGCTCCTCACGAGCAGCTGCATGTCGCGTGACCAATCAGAGCACACTGGGCTCACAGGGAGGGGGGGGCGAGCTCCAACAAGCCGTTTAGGACAAAGAGTGAATACCAGTGAATACACATACTTTACAGAGATGCTGTATGAGAAACCAATGTGAGTTTGGAACATTGCACAGTATAAATCTATGTTAGTACACCTCAACAATGGAATTATGATCAGTAGAAATGGCCATGACATGGCCCTTTAAGCACATTATTGAATTTTATTATTTTTATTATTTTAAAACTAATGACATATCTATAGGTCTTATGAATATGTCTTTATTATCAGGCTATGTTCCACAATCATTCAAAGTAGCAGTGATAAAACCGCTTCTTAAAAAGCACAACCTCGATCCAGAGGTTTTAGCCAATTATAGACCTATTTCTAATCTTCCGTTCCTCTCAAAATTCTTGAGAAAGCGGGTCGCAAAACAGCTGTGTGATTACTTAAAAAACAATTGATTTATTTGAAGATTTTCAGTCTGGCTTTAGAACACATCATAGCACAGAGACAGCTCTGGTTTAAAGTCACAAATGACCTTCTAATAGCCTCTGACAAGGGACTTTGTCTCTATTCTTGTTTTGCTCGATCTCAGTGCTGCATGTGATACTATCGACAATGATATCCTATTGCAAAGACTAGAGCACTTAGTTGGCATACAGGGAACTGCTTTAGGCTGGTTTAGGTCCTATCTATCTGAACGCTCTCAGTTTGTACGTGTCTATGATGAATCTTCACGCAAACCAAAGTTAGCCATGGAGTGCCACAGGGCTCAGTGCTCGGACCTATTTTGTTCACATTTATATATGCTTCCGCAATATTATAAGGAATCATTCTGTAAACTTTCATTGTTATGCGGATGATACTCAACTATATTTATCAATCAAGCCTGATGAAATTAATCATCTAAATAAAATTCAAGACTGCCTCAAGGGCTTAAAAACGTGGATGACCTTAAACTTTTTTGATGTTAAACACGACAAACGGAAGTTATTGTACTTGGCCCGAAGAAATCTACGAAACAAATTATCTAAAGATATACTAAACTATGGATGGCATTAATTTGGCCTTCAGTGAGACTGTAAGGAATCTTGGTGTTATATTTGATCAGGATTTATCCTTTAACGCACACATAAAATCAATCTCAAGGACCGCCTACTTCCATCTACGTAACATTGCAAAAATCAGGCATATCTTGCCTCAAAACGATGCAGAGAAAATAGTCCATGCATTTGTTACGTCAAGGCTGGATTATTGTAACTCTTTATTATCAGGGTGTGCCAAGAAGTCAGTCAAGTCGCTTCAGCTGGATTCAAAATGCTGCAGCTCGTGTACTAACCAGAGTTAGGAAAAGGGACCACATTACTCCTGTTCTGGCTGCCTTACACTGGCTCTCTATAGAACACAGGATAGAATTAAAATTATTCTTCTCGCCTACAAAGCCCTTAATGGGCAGTGCCATCTTACCTTAACGAACCTCATTATACCCTACTGTCCTACTAGGGCATTGCGTCCAAGAATGCAGGGTTGTTGGTTGTTCTAGAGTCTCTAAAAGTACAATGGGAGCCAGAGCCTTTTCTTATCAAGCTCCACATTTGTGGAATCAGCTTCCAGTTTGTGGTTCGGTGGGCGGCAGGACACCCTATCCGTTTTTAAGAGTGCGCTTAAGACCTTCCCTTTTTGATAAAGCTTATAGTTAGGGCTGATTAGATTCACCCCTAGTTTTGCTGATATAGGCTTAGGTTTTGTCGGGGGACATCTTACTTCTTCCTTCTCTCTGTCTATACCTGTGTACTCTCATGTTCCGATTAACCAGCTTCCCCAATTCTTTCTTTTTGGTGTCTATATACGCTGGGATCCGGAGACATGGATGATCCTGCGCTCCTCTGTCCTGGATCGCGAGCCCTGGATCTTGAGTCGTGGCTGTGGTCCTGGATCATAGGTCCCGGATGGATTATCCTCGTGGATTCATCTTCCTATTACATGCATTTCCAAAACATTTGGACTACCTATGTTGCAAATGTATATCTTTTCAATTTACACAACGGCATCTATTGCAACGTCTGTCCGTCCTGGGAGAGGGGATCCCTCCTCTGTTGCTCTCCCTGAGGTTTCTCCATTTTCCCTTTAAACTGTGGGTTTTCTTCGGAAGTTTTTCCTTGTACGATGTGAGGGTCTAAGGACAGAGGGTGTCGTATGGTCATACTGATATTATGTAACACACGGTGAAGTCCACTGAGACAAATGTTAACATTTGTGATATTGGGCTATATAAATAAACATTGATTGATTGATTGATTGAAAGCCTGTCATCGGCCTTAATGCACAATTATTTTAGACCAGTTGGAAATAAATACAGATAGTTCAACCTTAAAACAAAATGATCTTCCAGGAAAGCAGCCCTGTGAGATGTAACTATAGACTGTACGTGACATCAAAGAATCTTGCTGGGACTATGCTGTCACCTTCTGGTGCAGAAGTCAAATGGCTCAAAATAAACTCATGAGTTGCTTCTAAATACTCTCTCTGTACACACGTGGACTTACATGTTGTTACAGTTACAATATTGTTTTAATATTGTCTGCTTATCTGTATTATTGTGTTGCATTGTTGGAGAAGCCTGTGACCTAAGAGTTTCAACGACATAATTACTCTGTAGCTATGTTAGTTTGACAATAAAGAACCTTGAACCTTGAGCTACAAACCTCAACTAATGTGGTTTGTAGATTTCAATCTTTTGGATTCAGGATTTCAAGGGATATAACTTTCACATTTTGGTTTAAGAAATAATTGTTGAATCGCATGTGATTTATTATATTTTCTTCTGTTGTTTGTGCTTTCACCCATTCTTGTCTTGAGGTTTCTCATAATATTGCAATATGTATGTAAAATGGGAAGGGGTGTGTCACAAGTATTTGCCACTAGATGTCACTAGACAGGTTTTGGATGCATTGGTTCTGTCGCAGCTTGATTACTGTTTTGTACTTTGGTCTAGTGCTGCAGAGAAAGACTTAAACAAATTAAGTGGCAGCCAGGTTGATGCCAGGTGGCAGGAAAGAGTCTCATTGAAGAGAAACACAGATCACTCTTCTCACGCTCACAGTGAATATGAGAGACAAGTAGGCTGACTAAAAAAAACAAGGGTGTGCCGCGTGAATAGCACATCTTGTCAATGCAAACAGACCATTATAGCACCGTTATAATTAATGTTAAACCTGAGATTCGACTAGAGAACAAATACATAATAGAATAAAGGTCATGAGATCTCGGCATTGCACAAACAAACAAATCTCATCTTTAAAATCAACATTTACCTTCACTGGTGAGAGAAAACAAATCCCATCACAGTTCATTTGTGGGACTTTTACCTTTCTAGTATTGAACAGACAATGAAAAATACATAACATATGAAGAAAAACGATTATGCAATCTAATTTATAACACCCGCCATCACGGGCCACGGACTCACTTTTACAATTAATTAAAAAGAAACCGGATCTGATTTCGGTACGGTATACCGTAGCCACCAGTAACCGGTATTTCGGTAATACCGGATACCGGTATGCATCCCTACTAAGAGCAAATAGTTTATGCTGCCTACGTTTCTTTGCTCTCCGTTATAGAAGCATTGAGATCCATGTTTTTAATTATTATTTAAATGTTTTTCTCTCTTGTGTTGGACTTGAAGCTTGTGACATGAATGAAAAGGTGTTGCTGTTTGCCGGGTGGGAGAAAGGAACTTTGAAAATGATCGAAGGGGATATGGCGGTATATACGGTGAAATAAAGTCATTTGGGCAAAGATGGAAACGTGGCTTTAAATGCTGAGCGTGAAATGGATGTGTAAGAACCGTAACACTAGATATGATTGTTTCTCAGGGACATTTTAGCTCCATTTGTTTTGTTTTACTGGTTTGAGTCTTTTGTGTTGTCCCATATGATGCAAATAAAATAATCAAATGTGAGAAAGTACGGTATGTTCCTTTTAAAAATGTCTTAAAGTAATGTGTTGTGTACAGTACCATTTCTGTGATGTATAACGACATATAACATGATAGAAGGAAAACACTTTTTTCCACATTTGTTTAAGTCACAAACAAATGTCTTTTGTCTAATTGTGTGTAATGTTACAGAAAATGGTGAAACACAACTAACTAATTTGACATTTTGGTAAATTACTAAAGGTGAAGATGTGACAGGGTGGAGGCTTTTAATCGTTTTCTTTTTTAAACAGACGGAGGGCGAGATTTGGTACAAGTCCATCAGAGAAGACCTCTTTTATACTTATTGTATGTTTATTGTGTACATTATGAAAAATGCAGAACATTGAGTGCAAGTGACTATGAAATAAGACCTTTGTGTTTTGTAGAAAGGTTGTATCTACCTGTGCTTGGGTGGAAGTTCTTGTTGATGATCAGACAGGTTCCGATGCAGGGATAGTCCATCTTGCAGCGGTAAGGGTCACTACAGCTGCGGGGGGCCGAGTCTCACTGCTGCCTGCAGGCTTTGCACCCAACCTAAAAATACACACACACACACACACACACACACACACACACACACACACACACACACACACACACACACACACACACACACACACACACACACACACACACACACACACACACACACACACACACACACACACACACACACACACACACACACACACACACACACACACACACACACACACACACACACACACACCCATGTGAAAACAGGGATGGATACTAAACAGGCCTACCAAATAGAGGCCCCATTACCCAAATACCCATTACCTTCTATTTAACATCTACATGCTCCCCCTCGGTGAAATCATCCGCCAACATGGTCTCAACTTCCACTCCTATGCCGACGACACCCAACTCTACATTAGCACCAATCCATCATCCCAGCTACCCCCACCGTCAGTAGTCAACTGCCTCCACGACATCAAAACCTGGATGTCAACAAATCTACTGAGACTCAATAAAAACAAAACAGAGCTCATGGTTGTGGCCCCAAAAACACTGCTCCGGAAGGTCGGAGATCTCCTCCTCACCATCGATGGCTGCTCCATCCACCCTTCCCCTGAGGTTCGCAGCCTGGGCGTCACTCTGGACTCTAGCCTCACCTTCAACTCCCACATCAGGTCAACTGTCAAAACTGCGTTCTTCCACCTTCACAACATCTCTAGACTCCGGCCCTCTCTCCCGACCCCGTTGCAGAAACATTCATTAATCTCCTCACGCCTGGACTACTGCAATGGAGTCCTGTTCGGGGTCACCAGCAAAGCCCTGGACAGGCTCCAGTACGTCCAGAACTCTGCAGCCAGGCTCCTCACCCACACTAAGCCCTGGCAACACATTACCCCCCACCCTCATCCACCTTCACTGGCTCCCGGTCAAGTGCACGCATCCAGTACAAACTCCTCCTGCTAACCTACAAATCTCTCCACTCCCTAGCCCCTCCATACATCTCTGACCTCCTTCAGCCCTACACCCCCTCTCGTCAACTGCGGTCCTCCGACAACGGGCTGCTCTCCATCCAGCGCTCCAAGCTAAAAACCTTTGGCAACAGGGCTTTCAGTGTCGCAGCTCCCACCCTCTGGAATGCTCTCCCCTCTGCTATCAGGAATGCCGACTCTCTGGACACCTTCAAAAAACACCTCAAACACCATCTGTTCACCCGGGCCTTTGGCCTCAGCTAAAATGAAGTAACCAGCAACCGCTTATTTTTTTCATAACCTGTGTATCCTTGTGACTATTATTATTTTGTTGTTTTATTTCCCATTGTAAAGCGTCCTTGGATCTCTTGAAAGGCGCTATAAAAATAAAATATATTATTAAATGATCATAGCCCTTCTTGGCTTCACCAACAGAATGAAACTAAAAGAGCTACGTACAGAAAAAGTCAAATAATCACAAAGCAACAACAGAGAAACAAAGAAATACTACAAAGAGACACCAGACGACTTTAAAGAGTTAAACAGATGTCAAAGAGACTCAAAACTATTTTAAAAAGACAACAAATACTTCAAAAACACAAAATAATTGTAAAGAGTTACAAAGACTTCGAGAGGAGGCCGCAGCAAAACCTCGCCTTTGCCTGACCCGGCTAACGCTACTCGAGGGGTGGCTGAAGCTAACGCACTCGACGCCGAACTTTTACAAAGTATGATGGACTCCCTGAAAGCCGACATTATTGGCAAGATGTACTCTTTGTCTTCCAGCCTACGCTCCGAGATTACCTCTGTCCGAAAAGAACTAAAAGAGTCAATAGGACCATTACAAGATAAAGTCGAGCAAACTGAGCTTGAGCTTGAACGAGCTGCTACGGACCATAGCGGCCGGATAACGGAGCTGAAAGCTACAGTTAGCATGTGTATACATCGGGGCTCGGAGCCTGTGAGAGATTTAACGAGGGGTTACGTATGGTAACCCTTGTTATATAAGCACAGGCGGAGCCCTCTACTCGGGGCACTGTCTGTCCTATACCGCTCGCTGAAGAGAGGTGTTAGGAGGCGGTCAGGAGGCGAGGCCTCCTTTTATACGGTGAGATGCGCGCGCATTCAGGTAGGCCCGCCCCGGGGCCGGCTACGTCTATAGAAGTCTCAGTAGGTGAATGCTCGCATGATAAGGTAGTACCCATAGAGTCCAGTAGAGGGCTCCGCCTGTGCTTATATAACAAGGCTTACCATACGTAACCCCTCGTTAGAGATCAAGATTTTTATTATTTTATTTGTTACTTTTCACTTTAGTTTTTCTGAGCAAATGTTCTAGAGACCCAAAGCTGTATCTACAAATGTTCTGTCTTCATACAGGTCAAAACGTATACAGCTAAATATGTCTGTACATCTTGGATATTAAACGAGATGTCCACTTTTTTTATCTTCAGACAACCCTCAGCTTATTTTGCACATTTGTACACAGAGCTACCAGACTTCTGATGTGCAATAACTGCCGTAGGGTTGTCGGTTCAAGTCCCCGCACAGATCTAAAAATGGAGTGTGGACTGCTACTGCTGGGAGAGGGCCCTCAATAGCTATACTAGGATGGGTTACAAGCAGAGACCACATTTCACTGTGTGCTTTTTAAATGTATTTGTGACCAATAAAACTCAGACATGTGGTACACACTACAGGAGAATAGGGTAAACAATAAACTAACAGATATCACCATGAACCCCCCCCCCCCCTCATTACGGACATTAACAGTTATCTTTTACATTACACGTTTTCTGACATGTCATGTTTAAATATGTTCATGAAGAGTTATAATGCTAACTTTTGAGGAGTTTGTTTCCCTAAAGTGATGAAAACTGTGTGTGTGTGTGTGTGTGTGTGTGTGTGTGTGTGTGTGTGTGTGTGTGTGTGTGTGTGTGTGTGTGTGTGTGTGTGTGTGTGTGTGTGTGTGTGTGTGTGTGTGTGTCAGACACAGACAGTAAAAACATAATCCTAATATGGATTTTGGATGTTTGAGTGGATTACAGAAAACATCATTAAGTCCCACTTTATTATTATTGATGTTAATTATTATAACGTGTTACATCATATATTTTGCATTACTCTGTATATTATATAACCATGTATTAATTAATGATCTTATAAAGTTGTTGCTAACAGGCCAAAGTTTCTCTCCTCAGAGGACTAAGGAGAAACCTTTTTTGTTGACCGCCTCGGATCAATTACTGAGATAATCACCTCAGCTACTCAGCAGCTCAGGTGAGTGTGTGTTGTGTTTGTGACAACAGAGCCCCCCTCCCCCGCCCCCCCCCTGAGACTCACTGTGACCACTGGGTCATAATTAGCTCTTTGTACACTGGCTGTAGTCGGAGAGGGGGGGAGGGGCTCTAATGACCCTCATTACATCAGCTTCTGTGGACACGGCTGTGATCTGAACACTTAGCATCATATTACTGAGAGGCCAACACACACACACACACACACACACACACACACACACACACACACACACACACACACACACACACACACACACACTAATAGACACACACACACACACTTTCCAGTCTTACCTAGAGACGCAACTAAAACTAGACTTTTTTGTATTTGCTAAACGTTTATGTGTAAGACAGAAAATATTTAGCTGATTCATGATTTTGGGGGGGGGGCCCTAAAGACCCTCATTACATCAGCTTCTGTGGACACTGCTGTGATCTGAATACATTGCATCATGTTACTGAGAGACAACACACACACACACACACACACACACACACACACACACACACTCTTCAGGTCATTTCTGATCACTTTGTCACCACATGTTGACCTCTTGACCTTAGAGTGTAAAAGTTAATGCTCTTTTGAACTCATCGTGAAGATTGCTCATCTTACGATTGTTTATCGTAATAAGACAACACAGATTGGATTGCGGGAAGAAGAACTTGTATTTTCAGTTGCTCTTATTATTGCTATGTAGGCTTTTGCTTTTGTTGTATACTTTATTATGGTGGGTAAATATGATCTGTGATTCTTCTTTGTAATCGTTAGTATCTGTCTCTGAGGGGGCGGCTGTTAAAGCTGCAGCTTCCTGATCTCTTCTGTCACAGTTCTTCATTTTTCATCATCTGTATTTGATGCAGTCTTTTATGTGCGCAAACAAACTGATTCAAGTTTACAAACACAACACAACACCAACAAAGAGTCAACAGCAACACAAAGCTGTTTGGCATTGGCAGAGAAGATCTGGCACATTATTCGTGGCGTGACCCACACACTCAGCTCTGCTTCTCATCCCACAAACGCTTGTTCCTCACAAATGTGGCTCCATTGAAAAGAGAAATAAACAGGCTTTCCAACGGTATGAAATGTAATGCCAAGAAGCATTGTGACAAACAAGTAGTCGTCTACCAAACACACATTTCCTGACTTGTTGTGCTTTGTTTAGTAACTCTTCGCCCAACCCAGGTAACATTAGTGTGATTTGATCCGACACAACAACAATTGAAGGTGTTTAGAGGTTTCTTTCACGTTCAGTCCGTATATGATTGGGTTGAAGACGGAGTGATAGGAAACTATTTGCAAAGTCAATATCAAACGTGTCATTTTGGGAATATTGAATCCTAGAGGAATTATAACAAGATCTAAATCAGATAAACAGGGAAAGCTGATTAAAACCAACAGGTGGGGTCAACAGGTCTGTGCAGCTTTTCTCCTGTACTCTCTACCATTCTGATATGATAGTATAAGTCTCCTGGTGTATGTAAAAAGTATGAAGATAAGAGGCAGAAGGGACACATTTACCAACATGAACACTCCATATACAGAGAGAGCGCTCGAGCTCACACGCTGAAGATTGTAAATTGAATTGTTACAAAAATCCCCCTAATAGTAAAACTGCAGAGTTTGCTATTAGAATAAAGAATGCATCCCAATGCAGTCTCACAAGTCGGCAGAAGCCAAGACAAAACCAGACAGACATCGACAGTTCTTTTCCTCACGATGGTTGAATAATGCAGAGGTTTACAGAGAGACACGTATCTGTCGCAGGCCATGGCTGCCAGCAGTGAACACTCTGAAAAGGTCAAAGTCATATTCATCACATTTTGAAACAGACGGGCTCGATAACATATGATCTGTTTCTCTGATAAGAAGTCAATCAGAAGCCTGGGGTAAATATTGGTGCTATAAAGAACAGAGTCAATCAAAAAAGCTGCAATGAACATGTACGTGTGGTGCAGTGGGTTGAGCGTTGGTGTTCGTATCAGGGGGTCACAGGTTCAAACCCCGCAGCAGTCAGCTGAGACCCTTCACCCCAAAGTGCTCCTGTGGGGATTGCCCATCAGTATTGAGTATGTGAGTCGCTTTGGATAAAAGCGTCTAACAAGTGACCTGTGATGTAATGTACATAGGCTCATGAGGCTTTTGTGAATAACAGGGTTCATACACTTCTCCATGACTTCTCAATGACCTTTACCTAATTTTCCATGACCAAAAAGAATGACCACTGAAAATGGTTTATTTGAACATGGAACAGGAAAATAAGGTCTGATATGAAACATGTAGTGCCGATCTAAAACAAATCAAATAGTAGGCTTACTAGCTTCTACTCGCTAAAGCAACTGCAGTCAGGGAGGCAAAGTCATCAGGTATGAAAAAGGTGACAAGGACCCGACCCCTGACCCCACGGAATATCGGTTTAGGAATAACAGAGGAGTTTAGCAGTCAGAGCGACTAAAGCAGCAGGTCATAATAACAGAAACGCCAAAGAGTCACATCTAATAGAAATATATAAAAGCTTTTATTTTAATTGTGTAGCAGTCAGTTTATCATTCTGGCAGCACTGTTGAGTAAATGTATTTTCATGCCTCTGTGCAAGGCTTAGTCTTTCTATCTGTATAGCCAGTGGTGTAAAGTAACTAAGTTCATAAACTCAAGTACTATACTTGGGTACAATTTTGAGATACTTGTACTTTAAGTATTTCAATGTTTTGCTACTTTGTTCTTCTTCTCCTCTACAGTTCAGAGGTACATGGTGTACTTCTACTCCACTACATGTATTTAATACCTTTAGTTACTTCACAGATGTGGATGAATGATGTGAAATATAATCAAGTGTTAAATCAGACTCTAGTTCCACCTGGAGTAAATCCTCCAGCTACCCTGCAGTATACAAAGTCATTCAAACTAGCTGCACCTTTACCAGCTTTGAGAACACTTTCATGATCAATCATTATAAAACATATCATATATATTATTCTGAAGTGGACCAATCTACACAATGACTACTTTTACTTTAGATGAGAATACTTTTCTACTTTCACTTGAGGAACATTTTGAATGCTTTTATTGTAACAGAGTATTCCTACACTCTGGTACTTCTACTTTTACTCAAGAACAAGATCTGAGTACTTCTACTTTTACTCAAGAACATGATCTGAGCACTTCTACTTTGACTCAAGTACAAAATCTGAGCACTTCTACTTTTACTCAAGTACAAGATCTGAGTACTTCTACTTTTACTCAAGTACAAGACCTGAGTACTTCTACTTTTACTCAAGTACAATATCTGAGTACTTCTACTTTTACTCAAGTACAAGATCTGAGTACTTCTACTTTTACTCAAGTACAAGATCTGAGTACTTCTACTAAAGTACAAGATCTGAGTACTTCTACTCTAGTAAATATCTATACTTATACCACCTCTGTTTATAGCCTATGAAAAAAACTATTAGAAAACGAAGGCTAAAGCTAACGTTAGCAGATAGTGACAATGTATGCTAGCTAGCTAGCTCAACGATTCCTTAAATAATATTGCGACAGAAAAACGTTCCAGTTCACATCACGCTCTGCCGCTCTGCTCTGAACACCTGAACGGCCCGTTCTAACAGCTGTTCACCAGCGGCTCAGTCCGTGCCACAGTGACTCCGCACAGTTAACGAACGCACCGTAGATAATGTAGCTGACCCTCATCCCGGAGCAGCAGAGTTCAGCCGACAGGCAGGAAGACTCGAGCACACAGCTCGCGCTTCATATATTAAAAAATAACACCATGCGCGTCATGATGGCACCTAACAGCTCGCGACCGCAGATTATTTCGGTGATTAGATCAAATGTAAATTATATTTGACGCAACTTTAGTTACATTTCCATGACTTTTCCAAAACTTTGGGAAAAATATCGTTTTCCATAACTTTTCCAGGGCCTGGAATTTGCATTTTGAATTTCCATGACTTTTCCAGGTTTTCAATGACCGTACGAACCCTGGAACAACAATGATGCACACAGTAGTGGAATTACTGCAGATGATCAGAACATAAACATGATCACAAAATACAGATATCTATATCTCTGCACTTCCACATGCCCATCAAAAGTGATGTCACATTGAATTGAGCATCCATCAGTAATGCAGGCAGATCATATGTTCACTCTCATGAACAATACCTGAACAGTCTCTCTTGCAGGAACATGCAAGCTGTGATGCAGAGTGCTAATGCTTCACACAAAGAGTGACAGACAGTGACTGAGTCTGTGGGAGGTTTTTTATCTGACTGCTAACTCCTCTATGGATCTCATTAAACTCCATCAACACGTGAAGAGCTTCAGCAAACTGAATTATACTGAATACAAAGGCAATGTTTGATGTAACGTGGATTGATCACGTTACTGTGAGAGTTAACTGTAAATTAGGTTAAATTGTTAACATAGGTTCAGGAGCATGGCCACGCCTAAAACTCCGCCTCGAACCACGGCCACCCCTATTTATATCCGGCAAAACTTCCGGCCACTGCTTGTCTCCATCCTTTCAAGGACTGACAGCCAGACCGTGATTCACGCCGCGCGTCGTCACGGTTCAAACAAGCTAAACGCTACCACGAGAACATTCAACTCACCATGGATCCCGAACTGCTGATCAACTCACCGGAGTCAGACGAAGATCTCTTCGACATCGGCTACCCGCCATCCACGTTTCAGCAGTTGGATCTTAGCCAAGCATCCGAACGGAGCCGTGTGCGCTCGGCAATCAGTGTCCACACACCAACCGCGACCGCTCCCACTCAAGCTCCCCCAACGAGACACCTCCAACTCCAGACAGGTCCCAGGCTTCGTCTACTCCGCCAGCGTGGGCAAACAACCGGGGCCACAACAGGCACAGCCAGCTCCAATCTCCCCACCAACGGCAGCCTGCCTCACTAGCAGCCCCCGGCCACTCGCAGCGGCGCACTCGACATGCCTCTCGGACGGAGCCGCACTCCGAAACGGAGCCCGAAATCAGGAGGTGGACAGTCATTCAACTCCAACGTTTCCTGAAAGAAAAACGGCATCCACTTTCACCGAAATGACAACAAGGCTAGACTGTTCAACCTCTACAAAGCCTAGAGCAGCACAACGGCAAGACAACGAGACACACAGCTCTTCCTGCTCCAGAGCCAACCACCGCGCGGCGCGCGCACCACGGGTCGTGACGTCCTCCACGGACACAGCCCGACTCACCAGCACCCCCTGGTGGGGCCAGGTGGTATTACCCTCTGTGCCTGCTCTCTCTGTGTCTGACATGTCGCAGCTCATGTCAACCTTTCTCTCATCCCTGTGCTCACAGGCTTCACGAAATCCCCTTGCACATACATCCCTTCATCCCTCCATCCCTTCTTCTTCTTCTTCTCTACCTTCAGCAGTCCACAGCAACCCAGCTTCTGCTTACCTTCCTCCTTTAGCAGCTAACCCCGTATCAACAGCACCACCCACCCAGTAACCTAAGGGGCCATGCTACATGCTAACCCATTAGCCGACTCTTACCCAGTACCTTCTTTTCCCAACTGGTCTATCCTTTCCCCCCCCTCCCCAATCCCTACCCCTTCCCACCCCCTCCCCAATCCCTACCCCATCCCTTCCCCATCCCTACCCATCCTCCCTGTGCAACCAGCTACACTCTAGCCACGCAACACCACCCATCCAGCCAGCCTCCTCAGTCTATCGCCCTTCCCCCGTCCCCCGTCTTGCGCCAACAGATTCTCCTAGGTAACTACGTAGACTTGGCTCAGCTACTACAGTCCATCAATCATCGACACTAGCCAGCCCAGGGAAATGCAGACCAACTTCGGTTTAGTCCAGCTGCGAAATCCATCACCTATGAGGTCTAAGGACTTAACCCCCGCAGAGTTCGCCCTAGCTTTTTCCCTTTACCGCGACGTCATCTGCTCAGTCTATCCCACACGCAGAACCGAGTTGGACGACCTCCTCATCGAGCTCGACATGGCCTTACACTTCGGAGACTCAGGTTTTTACACCTACCACGTCCACTTTGCAAGCCAAGCCGCATCAAGCAGTTCAACCAGGGAACATACTGGGGCGCTCTGGACTCCGAGCTTTACTGCCGCATCTTCGCAGCACGCGCATCCCTCTCTTGCCAATTATGCGGAGCCCCCTCCCACCCGGCCTCAGCGTGGTCAGTCAGCGCCCCACCACCCGAGCCGCCCCGCTCACTCCCCTTTCCTTCAAGAGGCAACGCCTCAACCTTCAACCGCCTGTCACCTGCCGCACCCCCACCTCCCATCATCCTCTAGGCCCGCAAACGAACGTTCACCAACCAACGGCCCCGTTTCAAAGGGCGTCAACAGACGCGGAAGGCCAATCCTCTACCAGGAGGCAGGATGGTGCGCAACAATTTCAATGACCTAGGCTGCTCTCTTTCTAGCTGCCGCCTCATGCACATCTGCTCTTTCTGCGGCGGCGCTCATGCCAGGAGCACCTGCCCTCACAACCCAACTACACCAGCAGATTGAATAGCACGGCACCTCAGCACACCCGTCAAGATAAGCAACTTAGCTACCGCCTCAGTGAATCATCCAGATAGTTTGTTTACTTTCTCACCAATGGCTTCACCCATGGTTTCCCCCAGGCATAGCAATACTGCCTGACACATCTCACATCTGCCACAATCTTCAGTCCGCTTTTAACAGAACCTCACACCTTCGACACCTTACTGGCCAAAGAAGTCAAAGAAGGATTCATGATAGGCCATTCGATAGTCCCCCCTTTCCAGTATCCGCATCAGTCCAGTAGGCATAGCTACTCGGAATACTCCGGGAAAAAGAGGCTCATAATAGACCTGTCTTCTCCACACGGCTCAGCCATCCCGAGCATTAACAGCGTCATTCCAAGCCCAGACTTTTCGATGCAATACGCAAACATCGACCACGCCATCACCCTCATCTGCTCAGCAGGCCGGGAAGCATGGCTCTCTAAGGCAGACATCACCAGTGCACTCAAGATCTTGCCTATTCACCCAGACTCCTGGCGTTTCTTTGGAGCGTACTGGAAGGGAGCCTATTACTTCTCAGTACGCCTCACATTCGGCTGCAGAAGCAGTCCCAAAATCTTTGACTCCCTTTCAGAAGCTCTGTGCCGGATCTTGACAAACAACCACAGACTCCCCTATGTGCTCCATCTTCTCGACGACTTTTCTCACTGTCACTCCACCATCCTCACCCCCCTGCCACGGGCTGAGCACACTCATACAAAACATTTTTCAAGACCTTGCATTCCTCTGTCTGAAGAGAAAACCTCAGGGCCTACAACCTCCATTGAGTTTCTAGACATCACCCTGGACTCAATGTCTTTCCAGGATCTTCTCTATCCTCAGAGAAAGTACAGCGCATCACTCTCCTCTTGTCAAACTACTTATAGGCAGACAGATGCACAAAACGGCAGCTGTTAGCCCTCCACGGCAAACGACTCTTCATATTCACACTCCGAAGGAGTAAAACGGATCAGCTGGGAATTTCTTTACCCATCCACATCTTTACATTACATGACATTACATTGCATTTAGCTGACGCTTTTATCCAACAGCGACTTACAATAAGTGCGTTTCGACCAACAAAATACAAACTTGAAGAAAACAGAATCATATAAGTACATCAGGTTTCATAGAGAAAACATTTAAAGTGCTACTCAACTGGCTTTAGGTAAGCCAGTCCTTTATTAGTATATAGTGCTTTGTTAGTAATTCTATCGCTCGAAAGTGGAGTCGAAAGAGATGATCTTCCGCCTGAACTCGTATCCCAGCCCATACGAGCCACTAACCAAATACCTCAGCGCAAGGTACGATGCACACGCAACGCCTCAACTCTTTCTCACCGAAACAGAAACGGCCACACGTTTTGGTTCCAGAGGAACACTTTCCACAATGTGTTGCTTATTTTGGGGATATGTTCAGAACATTATTCGAGCCATTCCTTCCGCATTGGCGCAGCGTCCACAACAGCTTGGTGGTGTGTGTATTGGTGTGTGTGTGTGTGTGTGTGTGTATGTGTGTGTGTCGGTGTGTGTGTGTGTTGTGTGGTGTGTGTGTGTGTTGTGTGTGTGTGTGGTGTGTGTGTGTGTTGTGTGTGTGTGTGTGTGTGTTGTGTGTGTGTGTGTGTGTGTGTGTGTGTGTGTGTGTGTGTGTGTGTGTGCCCCGTCCGCCGTCCCCCGTCCTCCTTCCTCTGGCTTTTGCTGTTTGCGTGGTCTTCCCCCCCCCTCCTTCCGTCCCCCTTTATTCTTATTCTGTTCCTTTTCTCCCGTGTTCCCTCCTCCTTCTTTTGTCTTCCTCTCTGTCTCTTCTCTCCGTTTCTTCTCTTCCTGTATCTTATAAAGTTGTTGTTAATGTGTTTGCTAACAGGCCAAAGTTTCTCTCCTCAGAGGACTAAGGAGAAACCTTTTTTGTTGACCGCCTCGGATCAATTATTCTGTGGACACGGCTGTCATCTGAATACATTGCATCATATTACTGAGAGGCCAACACACACACACACACACACACACACACACACACACACACACACACACACACACCACAGGTGTTTGTCTCTCAGCAACAAACCTATAGTGTCCAGCTTCTTCAGAGTGGATCATTACAGGGGAGGGGGGCTTCCTCTCATCATGTCAAAGCTCTCACTAACAAGCTGAGTCACATACACTGTTTTATTGTTAGTTCCCACGTTGAATCTTAAAACATAATTGTTGATGGTTGGTTCAGTTGTCTAACTATTGTCTGTAATAGTTGTCCTCATTATATTGAATGCTTTCAAGGTTATCGTGCTGATCTGAACACAAGTATAACATATGTAAATGTTCCTACACTTTCAGGCATGGAATCAGTAAGTCAATAATGATTCTGTATGAGTGTATTTCAATGTACTGATGTACTGAGAGTGTTGAATTCATTGAATATGGTATTCTTATGCAAGCTTTTGCAAGCATTGATTAACATAGTGTATATGCTATGGATTATTCTCACTTACATTATCCTTCTATGTGATGATACTATATGCTGGCTGGGGCACGTTTAGCCTTTTTTTCAGGTCTTCCTCTCCTCCCTTTACCGGTTGGTCTTTGAATGCACCTCTCTTTTTGCTTTAGGTGCAAACACAAACATTTGAAATCTGAGTGAAATACTGTTTCAATAAGTGAGAGATGCCAGGATTGTGGTGCATGTAGTTTATGAGAAGGTCTTAGTTTGTGTACATCACTTCTTCGGTTACTTGGAATTGATATTTACTATTGTCAGGTCCAGCTGTGAACGTTTGCCGTTCACATGCATGCAGGTTATTGTGGTTTTTTAGTATTGTATGTGTTGAATTAGGACATGTTGCAGTTATATTTCCGTCCTTTTATCCAGATATAGAAAGCCTGAGTAAGTTCTGTGAACTCCTGTTTGAATAACTGAGACAGGCCAGACCTTTGCTGCATGTAGTGTATGTGGAGGTGAGATATTCCCAGCACAATATTGTCACGTACAACCCTAGGAGATTTTACAATTCACATGCATGCATGCAGGCTGATTTTGTATTATATATGAATATTGAGTAACATACGTTGTTTTATTGTTTAGTACCTGGACACAGGTAGATAATCATACTGTATACATGTGTATACTGCTTCTGCATGCAAGTATTTGTGCACATATATGCATTTAAAATAAGGAAAGAATATATTCTCACTTATATTTGACTTACTTCAAATGAGATTATATTGATTATTGTC